ACAAGGAATAATAGCTCTCTGCTGAATAGCTGAAGGCTTCTCAAAACCATAAGCATAGATGCCCCGAAGAAGAGACTCTTTTAAATTCATATCATCAAAGTTATCGACAATCTCATTCCAGTTGCTCTGTGATTTAAAACAAAAAATAAAGGAATAAATGAGATGAACAAACTCACCTTTCCAGAGTTTCAAAATCCACACCCGTTTCTTACCTCGATGACACCATCGGGGTCCATTCCCTCTGGGCCGCCATGTTCTCTGCCGACAAGAATACTGCAGTTAGACAACATCCCTTTCCCAAGCCGCCTTAACTGCACTTTAAAGGGACAGGCAGCCCTTTAAACCTGTGTCATCACATTACGCTCCCCGCTGCGAGCACACTTTCTAAGACCGAGAATAACTGCCACAGGGCAAATAACATACTGCGCGCCTCTCCTTAAGGTTGAGGGCTGCGGAGGCCCCCAGGCCCGAGCGCCCGGCGCTCCCGTTTCGGCGGTGGGGCGTCTCGCGAGAGCTGCACGCGCTGAGCTCCGCCCCCAACACTGCGCAAGCCGAGTGATTGACGCGGTCGGGGAGGCCCGGCGATGGCCGTGCCAACGGTTCGCCGGCACGCCGGTGTCGGTCCAGTCCCGTCGCCTTCGCCCCGTAGCGGGTGGGCGCCGCTACCACCCATTCCCCCTAACTAAAGCTTAGGACCCCAACTCGTGCTGTTGACCGAAAATAAAGCTTCGGGACCCGATTACACCGTACCGAATGCAGACTGCGCCACGGCTTTTAACTAAACGTCTGCCGTGTTCCACAGAGGGAAGGGGCCGAAATGTCACATGCCTTTGGCAGAAATGACACCCTTTAACTATTCCGTTTTCGCACCCATGTCCTGTCTCCCCGCAATCTAGGGCCCTACCCACCATGGAAGCTTCTCGAAGGACACAAGGGTACTGTACCCCAGGAAATGTCCATGAAACTAGAGTTCCTTGTCTCTAAGCTATCCACTACAGTCTTCCCCGGCGCCATATGACCTTCGCTACAGAACACTACCACCGAAAGAGCGCCATACCTGTTATAATCCGCAGAGCCACCAGACATGATCCGAAAACCCACTCAGCACCCGACTGAAAAGACAGCAAGTCCGCGCCACCCGGTTTTTATAGGCTCGCGGCCGGAACCCGTTTCTTGCGGAAGAATTTTCTCGTCGCTCTTCGGTCAGCCACAAAATTATGATCCTGAGATCGTCACCGCAGGTAAAATCCTAACCAAGTTGATGGGAAGATCCAAATTTGGTAATTTCTCAATATTACAGGGTCTCTGGAAACCCCAGGACCCGGAGGAAATCTGGGACTCTTTGCTGTGCGGCGGAAGAATATTGCTGCGGTGATGTCCAAATACCGCGCTCCCCACCGCCCTGCTCCTACGGGGTTTCCGCGTCCCTGACGCAGAGGCGGGCCGGGGGAGCCGGGGTCGGGCCGGGAGGCGGAAGCTCGGGGCGCTCTGCTGGCTGAGCGGCTCGGGCTACCTACTGGCGAGGGGTCCTAGCTCGCAGCGGGCTGCCGGCGCGCGGGTGCTGGAGGGGCAGGGACATCCACGTCTCCGCTGGAGGGTACCAAGTTATTATGCCTGTTCCCACCGCTGTTTAATTTGACAATAAAGAGCCTCGGCCTGGCATTTTAGCCTGATCGTTTAATATCCGTTCACATCTCGAAAGTGTGAAACTCCTGTTAGGGAAAATGTCGGCCAGCCAGCAAGTCCCAGAAAGCCGGTTTACCGGTACTTTTGCAGCGCGAGAAAAAATGTGTGGTGTCATTTGCAAATGTCTCTGGAGTAGCCAACTCTATTCTCATGTTGCTTCTAGTCTTCTTTCCCTCTTTTTACAAACAATGCTAATGATTGTAACCTAACAGGTGTGAGGAACGCCTGATAAAATCATAACTTTTGCAAGTGGATAAAAATCATAAACGTAAGCAAATGGATTATTGCTAAAGAGCGGTAACGCTCCCTTGTAAGGCAGGGATTTAAATGGTTCTGGCAGATGACAGCTCAGTGCCGCTTTGGAACTATACAGGTTTTGATTCCAGTCTATATTGGTCATTTTTTTTTTTAAAGACTTCGAATTTTATTGCGTATACATAATGAAATATTGATCTTACTGCAATCCTTGCTGCTAAATAAACTGCAAGATTATTTAAGCTTCAAAGGTTTTCAACTAGCCCCAACCCAGGTTCCTTGATAAAAACAAAAAATACTATATTTAATCATTTAATTTTAAAATACAATCCTATTCACGGTGCAAGATATCATCACAAATAGGAAAACATTTTCTCATCAATTCAGCAGCCCAACTTAAAGTTTTATTGCTAGAAAAATTGACTCTTAATTTTCTCAATTATAGAAGATATTTGGTTCTAAATACTACGTGTTTTTTATAAAAAATTATTTATTTGAAAATTATTATTGTGCCAGATACTTTGGCAAAAATTAATACCAAAATGACAAAGTGGACCCAGCCCTCGGTGCAGTGATGGTGCTCCTCATTCATCCTTGTGTAGTGTTCAAATCCAGATTTGAGGTGATGCGGGACATTTTCTGAGAACGATGGTTATAAGAGATACTTATTGTCTCATCCAAAATCTAATAAAATATCCTGGGATGTAAGAAACTAAAGAAAATACTAAATCGGAAAAGTGACCAACCATTTGGGCTCCCTTGAGTCTTAAGGCGAAATCAATTGATCATAGGGTGAAATCAATCAACAATTAACACGTAATTGTTGAGTGTTGTCTTTAGCACTACAACTAGTTGCTGTGGAGAATTTTTCAGAGTCTCTTAAGAGGAAATAATCAAGGGCAAAATTCTATGGTTTCGGTTACAAGTGCCGAAGAAATTTCATAATAAAATTCAGAGTGAAAATCCAGACCACACTGCATGTAACCCTACGATATATTTCTAATAAATGCTGTGCTTACCACAATTGCACGTGCTTACTAAATAATAAATACCATTAATATGTAATAAATGAATTAAAGATCAAAACATTGACTTTAGAACATGCTCTTTTAAATTTAAGAAAAGTGTTTCTACTTACCTGGAATCTGAAAATCAGATAGCCTTCTCAAAGTCGACTATAAATGCTTCTTTGCCAATCTGGAGTGTGTGAGACCATTTATATTGCAAACGTTACTAAAAATAAGATTCTTTCCCTATGTGAGCCAACTACTGTAGTTTAGTTTTTGTTTTGTTTTGTTTTTTTCATTTTTTTATGTTTTGTTTTGTTATGTTTTGTTTCAGCATATTACGTGGGTACAATGTTTAGGTTACATATATTGCCTTTGCCCCACCCGAGTCAGAGCTTCAAATTGGTATTAACTGTAGTTTAGTTTTGCTCTTCCATACCCTCAGCTGGTGAATATAAACCCATCTAGCAACCAGAGGAAGCAAGGAATTAGAACAAATTTGTCAGTACTACATAGAAAAACAATAATAAAACCTTAAAAGAGTGTGCTTTATGTTGGTAGTGACATTTTCCTATAGAAAGTACCATACATTCTCATTATTTGGGAGGGCATTTGTGTGCCATCTTGAGGTTCTTACATTATTTTAAATGCATCAGTTGATTTTAAGTGATGGCTACACATTTAAAGCAGTGTCTTGATAATTTATTGATACATAACATTTACTAGGGTATGTGTTTTGGATCTAATTATTACTTATTAATGTTATTTTATTGTTTAAAATACAGGATGCTATCCCTACATCTGTATTTCAGTATTTGAAAAGAACTGCCTGGAGCTGAATAGGGAGGTAGTGCTGCTAACCTCTTTTTTGTTATTCAATTACTGGAGGGAATTAGAGGGTAGGTTCTGCTTGCTTGCAGTGTCCCCTGAAGCAGTTTGAGGGTGGCACTCACTGCCCTGTTCTTCACAATAACACAAAATCATTTTCACTAAGATAGATAAAGATATTAACAGAGTTGAAGAAAATGGAGAACACTGAGGAGTGCCATGGAAGGACTGTTGAAATATATAAGGACTAGGTTTGAATTCATTACTCTGTTGTGTAACCAGGATACAGAAGTTTTTCTACCCTTATTGAGAAATGCTAACATAAAAGTACATTGCTATACTCTAAATCAGGAAATCAAAAACCATGGTATACATAAAAATCAATGGGAAATTCTATTTGAAATGGACTCTGCTCTGTCACCCAGATTCACTAGATCTGAAATAAAGTGGGGTCAACTTTTTATTGTGAAAAATGTAAACCTACAGAAAAGTTGCAAGAGTAAAGCCATGATTACCCAATGTTTGTCCTATTTACCAATTGTTAAGTTTACCCCATTTGTTCTATGACTTTCTCTGAACCTTTTGAAAGTCACGTATGTAGTAACAATTCATTCCTAATACTTCAGCAAGACATCCTAAACATCCTTTAAATGAAGATATTCTCTTTCCATAAAACCATAAGAATGTCATTATATGGGGCCGGGCGCGGTGGCTCACGCCTGTAATCCTAGCTCTCTGGGAGGCTGAGGCAGGTGGATTGTTTGAGCTCAGGAGTTCGAAACCAGCCTGAGCAAGAGCGAGACCCTGTTTCTACTAAAAATAGAAAGAAATTAATTG